ACCTATTCCTCTGGTACTGCCACTCACCTCGCAGGCACCCGTTCAGGAAAAAGACCCCGTTACCAACTCGCATTGGGTAATTTGCACGATCTATTTGCTAGGATGAAAGCAAATAAATTGGACAAATATCGAATGAGGGTTTCATGCTTAGCAAGAAATCGTGTGGGTCGGTGAACGTCAAGGCCGAAAGCTCAGGAACAATTGCGAGATTATAGAAACTTTGTTGTTTCATTATCCAGGGCCTCTTTGTGATCCGGGAAAACGTCTCAGCAAGTGTAGGTAATTAGTATAATTATTTTTATAAAGTACTCACATGGTTGTCGAAAAGTCTTCGACCACCCACGACCGTCTTTGCCCTTTTTGGGGCTCATCAGGTAGGCGCAGTTCCCAGTTTTCGTCAACCTTATGTTCTACTTGTTGAAACAACGTGACCCAAATAGTAATATGCTCTTCGCTTTCGGGATGTATATGTAACATTACACTGCGCAAAAGCACAGGATATGCGCACCATGCCTTAAAATCACAATCAGAAGCATCAGGCACAGGCGCATAATTTGAATCAAAGTGTATATTTCAAAACGGGCCAGCATCGTAAAATTCCCTCATACAATCGATAGACCCTTGTGACGTGGTCACTTTGTGTTTGTCGTTGGTTGGTGTACGTGGAACATCACGTTGTCAGACAAACTTCAGTCACTGGTTGTTTGGTTCTTAGACATCCAGCTCAAGTCAAACAATTCTGGGGGTCAAACTGTGTCGGAGTGCGGTCATTGGCATGTGGGGCCGAACTTGATCGAGGCAGCATCAAAACCCGGAGACAGTTTGTTCAAATCGAAAGCCGCACGAGTGCGACCCATAGCAAAAGCCCTGCAGGCCACCTGGAGGCCTTTCATGCACACCTGACTTTGCTACTGAAGCGATGAAAGCAAAATATGCACCGCTTATATAGGAATAGGGAATGGCTCTGAGACGTTATAACGGTGCTGTCATACGCAGAATTGAGAAACCGGAAGCAGGCAATTGTGATAGAGGTTGCGTGAAAACTTGAAATCGTTTAACTTACGAATCAGACTGCGTATGAAACATTAGGTCGCGCACGCTACTTTTAAACAGGATCCACCACATCCCAACAAGCCAAGAGCCCTATAGGTATTTCTGATTTTGAGTGAACATCTATTTGAGAGCCTCAGCGCTACTAGATCATGTGCGCTAGGTAAATATCACCTGCATTGTATTCAGAATATGCTGTCGAGACAAGCGTAAAAGCCTGGAGGGAATTGGCGGCAGCTGTACTCTTTGAATAAAATTTACTAGATTTCGGTTCCGATTCCCAAGAAACCCAAACGGCATGAGTCAGGATAAAAAGTGCATGTTGCTCACATCTGCTGCCAGGAGGTGCGAGTAGCTGGCATGCAGCCAAAGGGTTTCAGGTGGCTTCAATGGTCAAAAAGAAAATTTAATTGGTATTCATCTGAATGAAAAGCACTTTTGCTGCTAGTGAATATACATTAGTGGGAAGAATGAGAACTCTAGGCATTTACTAAGACGCCCTATATACAGGCTTCAAAATAAAATAAAAGCCATCACCACAAAATAGAAACAAGTAACTGTTTAATGCAAAGACCGGACGGTTGGCCTGCATATGAATTTGAAGGATACAATGAAGGAACCGAATTCGAAGTTCTGCATCTTGCTTTTGAAAATGCTGTGCTACTTACGCAGCGGACAGCATTTTGGTTTACGGTTTTTGTGACCAAAGGCCACAGCGTTGCGGCACAAAAGATCTGGTTTGTTGCAGTGCTAAAGTGGGTACTGTGATTTCAAAACGAAACTTGTGGTTCCAGCTCGGAAACAAATTATCACGGAGTACACACGACAACCATGGAGCAGGCGGGAATGTACTTATAGCCCCCTTCAATGACTGCATCCACCGATGTGGTGAAGACCATTACATCCCAGACCTACGTGTTCTATGGCGGAAGAATTTGGGATCGCCAATCCATTAAACAGTCCAGTGCGTGACCGTGTAACAACCAGCAACTCCCAGTTATATCTGGAGCGTTTTGCCGAATTGATGGTTTGGCGCTTGTTGTGTGCGTAGGATTAAACTTGGTTCCGGCCAACTTCCGTGTTAATGGATCGCCAAATATTAAACATAAGCTGCATCGCTTGGTAGGGTTCTCATGAGACTAGCGAATAGCGCAAGTTTGATTGTTTCCGTCTTGCTATAAAAGTGGAATGCAGCATGCAAACACGATAAAGGATCATTTAAATCAAGGCTTGCTTGACACAGGGGAACATAGGTGCCACTGTTGCCAATAATATCGGGAATCCAGTCCAAGAAACTCCCCCATGCTCCCAGTGGTAATTCGGACGAACTGCGGAGGACAGAAGTTTTCCGGTTTATTGGCTGATTGAACCTCAGTTTTGCATTCAAAGATGTGGACGATTTCCTCATTTTTCAACATGAGAAGATCTTTAACTGCTTAACTCTAAAAGGCTGGAGAGAATTTCATAACTCATTATGAATCTTATCCTACAAAAACTACCTAGTAAAAGTTCTAGAGAGTCGGACAAACCGATTCAATACCGGTTTTGTTTTGGATCGCCGCACCATTTCGGTTCGGAATCTTGGTGACTTCCTGCTCGGAGAACCCAACGGTCAATCCTGAAATAATTGGGTGCGAGTCCCGATGTCCTAGTAAATAGCGACTGATAGTCGCATTCACAGATAACAGGCTTAAGCAGCCGTCAAAGTGGAAATATGTGAAGGGGTGTGAGGAAGCACGTGATAAGTGGTAGAAGCTGGCACGCAAGCAGACAGGTTATTGGGGTCTACAGAATGTTGTATTGGGCTCGACTGAAGAACAGACTCGGAGGAACGACGCCGGAGGACACGGACACGAAGTAATAAACCCATTGACCTCAGAAGCTGTGGCTCACTGATAGTGGGGCCACGCAGTGTAAGCAGTCTAACAAATGAATCCATGGTGCTGAGGCTCAGCCAACACGAAAAGAAGAAAAAGAACCTTCTAATGCAACAGTACAACATAACGTGTCACCGACAAGTTGGACATTGTGTTTAACATTTTAATAAGGAGGCTTAGCGCTCACATACACAGCTCAAAACAAATATTTTAGGAAGGTTTATATTTTCTGGTTCAAGGATGACTAAGATAACAGAGTCTTGCTGGAGGTCGCCAGTTCCGAGTGATGATATTGGTCAGAAGATGAGCTAAGTCAATTTTCGAGGTCACAAACGCCGGTAGATAGCGCGCGTAGACACCTTGGCATATCAGGAAGGTGGAAGGTTGGTTGTGCCGTTTGCCCAGACAGATTGTAGCTCAAAAGAGGCTGTTACGGCTATCTGCTTTCTGAGCTTGAGTCACGCGTGCCAATCCAGGAAAACAACTAAGATATATATATACATAATATAATAATATACATATTTAACAAACCTAAACGGATTCTCCTCTGCAGATACCGTAAGGTTACAAAATAAGGCGGTACAATCACCAGCCTGAGGATAAACGCAGATCCCTTCGCCTCAAAATCAATATCGTCACAACCAAACAGATATCGACGGCGAGCAACCGCAAAAATAACAATATCCGACCAAAGTCTGGAAGAGTTATAAAAATAGTTCAGTAAAACAAGAAGGTTTCAGTTCATCTGGTCAAGGGGAAAAATATGCGGATTGGCTGACACATGGGGTTGGAAACAGGCGCACAATGTTGGTAAGCTGTCTTCTAAAGAGACTCCCCCATGTGAAAATCATCCTTTTCAAAATTTTGCCAAGAACATGCAGAACATGCCATCTCAAATGTTGAGCCTCCTCCGAGGATGCGGCGGATCGGTCTTCCTCTCCAAAAACAGCATTCGGAGCGGAATCTATTGGGCTCATCTTGTGGAGTCAGGGGAGTATTCAGGGCTCCGGGTGATTGTCATTCACCACAGTGAAAAGCATGAAAGGACCTTGTCTAAAAGGAAACACTCGTCGTCCATAATTCTTACACTAAAGGTTATCTATTTTGCTCCAGTTTGTCAATCCCGTAAGGCTGAGCAAAGCGTGTGAAAATAAATAGTTTTCTGCCGCTTCATATGCGCTGCGCTTGCACCCGACGGACTGCTCTTCAAAGGTAACTGGCTCCAAAGACGAAATGATGAAGTGGGGGGCGAAGGAGAGATCAGCGTGGAGAGGTATAAAGCAACTAACGGGGAGAACCAAATGATCCTATATATGAACCACAATCTATTCAAGGCCAAAGCACCATCCGAGTGGGAGAAGCCAATTCCAAAGGCTACAATCAACGAATACGGTTTCACAGGAGACACAAAGAAACCTGACCACCAATGTGTGGTCCATTATAGCAATTCTGCAGCCCACTAAAAATTTCTCGACGAAAATGCTTTGCATGGCTTTCAATCTAGAGCCGGTTTCTCGTGATTCTATAGATTTGTCCACTCATCGAAGTACTGCGAAAAAATTTCAAGCCGTCCGTAAAAACTAGATACGGAATTGCAAGAAAATCTATGTCAACGACCTTCCAGACGTTCTCGCAACTCCATTTCCACTTTTTGCGGACGACTCGAAATCCTGGAGTTCCAATGCCAGTGCCATCCAAACGGATGTAGACGCTGCAAAGCAGTGGTCGTTAGACTGGCACCTCCTCTGAAAAACTTGTCCAAATGTCATTTGGAGAAGACTCAGCGAATGCCTCTGTCATGCATGGTGAGAAAGGACCAGAAAACATCTTGACGATGGACGCCAAGAGGATTTGGGTATCTGGGTCTCCTCAAACTTGTCCTTCTCGCTGCACCATAAGAAATCGGCCCAAAAGGACTTCGCCATTTTACGGGTGATCCGATGCACCTTCTCCCTCATTACCCGCATGGACTTCTAAATACTCTATGGGGCCTATGTCAGACAGCTCCTAGAAAACGCCAAACGAGTCGTCTACTCAGGACGCACGAAAGACATCAGCCTCATAGATCGTGTCATGCGAGCCGCTACGGGATTTATCGCTGGCCTCAAATCCATGGACTACGAAACGCGTCTCGCAATGCTTGATCTCTTTCCCCTGGAGTACCGTCGCCTTCAAGGGGACCTGATTCTTACTTATGCCCTGTTTGAAAAAAGCTTGGCCAACAGGTTTTTCACCGTTGACCCAGCAAACACACGGCGGGGACATGGTAAGAAGATTTTCAAGCTCAGAGCGCACACATTGGGCAAAACTTTTCTCATTTCGGGCAGTAGTCACGTGGAATAACTTTCCCCCGACGGTTCTCCACGCCCCTTCTAGCAACCAGTTCAAAGCACTACTAGACAATTATTTATGCGAATCCTCGGACTGGCAAGCATACTGCCCCGCCCTGAGGACATAAAATGCAGTGCTACACCCCTTTTCTCTTGTGCCTTTCAGGTGAACGACAGCTGCTGAAAAAAAGAACAAAAGCGACCAGGGGAAACTTGGGCGATAGCCTGGATGCTGTGTACCAATCCGTGAATGCTTGAACCCGTGACGACAAACTCCGAAATTTCCTACATTAACCTAAAAAGGCCGTTCACGTCACAAATAGTTTAGGAACTCTTTTAGTTGAGCCTAGTGATACCTGATTTCGGAGAATCAATCTTCATATATAGCCAAACATACTAATATGGCACTATGCTACAAACCGAAAATTGAGATAAAAATGCCGCGCATTTGGACCATGTACAGACGACTTGGCAGTTAGTCCATTCGTTAAATCGAAGTGCCTCGTCATAAAATGATATATGAGCCCAGCAACTAAATCGGGTTATCACAGTTAGATGCCAACAGTGCTAATAATCAATAGATTATAAACCACTTAAATTACAGGGGAGATTTGTTTTACTGCACCACTGCTGGTTGCACATAATGATCTTGTGGTTTGCGGAGTTATGAGTTCCCATCCATAATATGTCCCATCGAAGCTATATGAGAGAAGAACAATACGTAGGACCTTATAGACTTGAAAAAACGCTGGGGAAGGGTCAGACTGGTGAGTGTAGGTGATATACATCTTTTATCCTGGAAACAAATATTGATTTTGCGTTTGGATAGTAAAGACTGTTTGAGGTAATTCGTCAGTAGTGCAATACGAATCACTCATTTTGACAGTGAAATATGTCAACTCCTGGGTTGTACTCATTGTCCTACATGGTTTAGGAAGGGGATATTTTTCCCTGTCTTTCGTAAGGGTTTTCCATCACGCATCACGTTTATTTGCAGTTGCTTCTATTTCATACATTTTTAGCCCTGTTTAAAGTAGGTGAAGATGAAAACTGTAGTATGATGACCGTGAATCCCGTTCGTGACCACAGCTAAGAATGCGGAAAAAGTTCCAGACCCTGATCCAAAACATATCAAGTACACGTGATGTGGGCTCTCTATGCAAATTATTTCGTGGTGGCGTAAGGCATTAGAAGATTACGGCTCTGAGTGACCTAGATTCCCAATAGAACCACACGCCAACATATTATCTTTGGTTTTCGGTATTTTTGACTAGTAGTTTTGATTATCTTTTGTGGACAATTACAGTACGGATTACGATTCTCGCGGAAACGGATTCATTACAGTTTTTAGGATATTGCCGCATGGCTGATTTAGCGATTCCATTTTCGCAGCACATGAACTCAGGGTCTTCTGAGAGCAAATGTCTGGGTCGCGACAAAGACCGTGACTATGTTGCTTTTGGTATTTTCCATTCACTTGCGTGCCTCTTGTTTGTATAATTGATTTTTTATACGCGTTCGTATACTGCACTTAGTTTGGGGTGTGGCTTACTGAAGAAGGTTATTGTAAGCTCCTTATCACACCCAAGTCACATATTATAGCTTCAGATGTCTGTTGTGACCAGCGATGAATCGCTAACGCTCATGATCATGTATATCGGACAGTTTTTTCGGCACTTGAACTGCCGTTACTGATAGTATGGGTTATCAGTCCGCGGCTCTTGAACGTGGCCCTTTTAAGAACCAAAACCTGAAACTCCATATTCATATTTACCATTGTCCCGAAACTATAGCTAATCGAGGCTGATGACGATGAATATGAGTCAAGAATTTTGGGTGAAGAATTTTTGCAACACCAAAAGCTGTGACAATTCGGCGTGACGGCTCACCGAAAAGAAGTATCCCTGTTTAATTCAAGGTGGAATTAACGACAGCAAACCAGACTCAAGTCCCATTACGGAATGCGAAATTGTGTCCACAGATTTTTATTGACGATGGTGCAATATGGCTTAAAAGCTGGGGTCCCTAGGACGCTGATGCTAGAGGAGAATACATACCAGGAAAAACAGTGAAATTTTTTATTTGTTTCATCCATGGACCATACCTATTGTGGTGTAAGAACCTTGATGTGCTTGAGGCAGCGTGGCATATGTATCTACATATACATGTATAATAATAATAATAATCGTTCAGCTGTAGCGCCCTTCCGGTGCCTAGCTGCCATGCCACCGGAAGGAAGCAAGAGGGCTGGGATACTGTCAGGTTGCCCAAGCCTAGACAGGGGAAGTCGAGAGGCAGAGGTGGGGTTCGAACCACGGACCTCCGGGTCAGTAAATTCGCGCTCTAACCACTTGAGCTATCTCGCCCCCACATGTATGGTTGTTTGTAATAAACTAACTGAAGCGCCCGTGCAGTTTTGAGCTTTTGATGGTGTGCGAGAATGTTTTGAGGTATAACCCTCCCTTTGGACTCCCTTACGTGTAGTTCCTCAGTACGCTGAGCTCAGTATAACGTCAAAGCCGGGTCAACTCAAATGACACTTGCTGAATCAGTAACTCCTAACACCAACAGCTTATCGTATCCGGTGAAAGCACATCATTAGCAAGAACGAAGCTCATCTCCGATTGGTCATGGGTAGAGATCAAGTTCGTCATCTTGACTGTGTCTAAAAATTAAACAGTATCAGTTTGCTTAAGCCTTTAAAATGCCCAGTAATGGTTTTACGCAACGAGCTATTGGCTTTTATGCTGACTTTAAACAAAAACAGGTACTGAGCGGTACAGATTAAGCCTAAAGATAGCGAAAATATATGATTATTGGTCCTTAACCATGGTTCTTGACCATAACTTCTGTGATATTGAGGGCCTCACGTCAACAACTGTCACCGGTTTGAAGCACAATGATTGCCATTTTGAGCCAGGAGTTTTGGTCAACACGGGGTCATTCTCAACACAGAAAGCTCCAGAGGGGTCTTACTTATTGGTGATCTTTTCTTACGGAGGAGTGCTTACCTTTATACTGGCCGGTAAAATTTGCACGTACATAAATTCTCCCAGTACATAGATGGTGATAAAACGTTTATTGCTTCAATTATATGGTCTGCATTTGGTCACATCAAGGATGATCGAGTATATCGAGACCCAGTTTACGATCTGTTGGTCCTTGACTATGTTGAGCTGTAAGTTGTTCCTGGAAACCGTTTTGGGTGGTCTTTATTACCACTTCAAAGATAGCCTACCCAAAGTTGCCAGTTATAAAGAGAACCTCACGGGGCCGGACCAAAATGGTCTTACTTTTTGTTCACCTGAGGAGGCTCACCAAAGAATATTTGTGCACATATGTACCTGGCCAACTAAAAGACCAACACAGCATGGAGGTGGTACAGATATTTTGCAAAAATAGTTTAGTTTCTTTGGAAAATAGACATGAACTACTTCGCAGCAAGACTTTAGTGAGACTTCGAGGTGCTTGTAAGTGTGTTATTGCCAGTGTGGCGGTGTCAAAAGACTGTGGAGATTGATATTCAGATATAACTTGAAGACGGCTCATTACTACTTCACTATGCACTGATATCCCCTTCTCAATTAGTGACGAATCGTCTACATTAGGATTTATAGAATCGGAAAGGACGTCAACCATCAAATAAACCATTACAATGGTTGACAATTCTGGCAGCTAGGTAGTTAAAATTGTGCCTTAAATGGAACAGGGTTCTCACGCAGCCTGCTTTTTCAGATGGGCTGCGAGTCAGTTTTAAGAGATCTGGTGTTAGTCAGGCAAGTATGGTCTAAGCAGATGAAATTAAATATATGTTTAGTTGTTATCAATCGTAATACGCTCTGGAAAGATTATCTGATGTGTAAATTCAAATCTTTTGAGAAGGAGCTTTTATGAATCTTTCAAACTATTGAAGGCCCTTTTGATGTTGCACTGTTTTTTGTAGCTTGCTACCACATCTATATTTACCTTTTAACACATTGTCAAGGCCGCTGAGCGTTGGTTTTTTCAAAACATGTTTCCATAAATGAATTTTAGCCGACAAAACATTCTCATTTTCTATTCAAGTATAATTGTATCGGATCACGAAATTTTAAGAATGCTTTTCCACTTACTTGCTATGGACCTTCACTTTGTGTCTGAAGGTTCTGACATGCAAATGTATCAATTTACCTCTTAGAGCTTATTTTAATGTATTGTTTATTTAGCTGCATTTTGCCTGTTAGTGTTGGACTATTTTGAACGTTCTTAGTGAAGTGTATTGACAACTTTTCCGATTGTGGAGTGCATAATTTACTCGCTTTGTATTGAGGGTAACTGGAACGTTCATTACAATACGCAATTGGTTTTAAAGGCACATATACTAATAACGCACTGATGATGTTTCGTAGCATGGTGATGATAATTTGCAACCGAATCGCAAAGGTAATCATGCATACCAAGCGCTACACTTCCGGCCTGCAGTATGTCTTCGACTTTGTTATCCGTTTCGTTGTTACATTACGAGGTAATGAGATGACGTTCATTCTAAAGACTAATGTTTGAAACAGGCAAAAAATATGTACACAAAGCAAAGTAGAATTAATCGACCGCATATTCTATTCATCTTTACTTTTCTGCTAACGAATAAAACTTCACGCGTGTTGATCAGTGGACACGCCTTCGACAAATGAGGATGAGAATACATAGGCATAATAATCGTATGATATGGTCTGAGAGTTTTATGGGCGTGATAAAACTATATCACTGCTCTACTGTAGAGGACTGTGTTAGTGGCTTTAAATTCCTCCGAAAATGCGATAACCTAAATGATATTTTGCTAATCCTATTTTAAAGCACACATTAAATATTTGGACGCCGTAGGGATAGAACGAGGAGCTTACTACTTCTAGTGTTTTCTGTGAGCGTGGTCTTTTCATTAAGTAAGTTGAGTGCGAAA